AATGTTGTCCTCCTGAAATCAATGATGCTTTAAACCACATTTTCCAAAACATGTTTTGATCTGGGGGTGGAGTTGCACTTTACTCTTTGGCTGTGTGAATTCTTTTTTAAAAAAAATTTGTTTGCCAGAAGCCAAAATGGTTTTAAAGAGCTGATATGAAAGAGACTGTAGATGCAATCATATATGCAAGATTAGTCTTGCTGGTGTGTTATCAATACACAAATTTATATTAGCAATGGCTAAAAGAGATGCAAATCTTCTGAAGGATGTGAAAAGTGCAGTAAACTGTGCATGCTCCAATTTCAAAATTAATTTGATACATGCTCATATTTGAACTTGATTTTAAGGATAAATGGGATACAGTCGGGAGAGAACTGCAAGGTCAATACAATTACAGAATGGGAGAAAATCTGCTCTCAGTATGGTGCAGTTCCTCTGTGTGTGTTCAGTATTTTCTTAGTTACATATGTCTCTCTCTGTCTGTTATTTTGTATTATACTCAATATGTGTATTTGTATGACATGATGGATTTTGTTTAACTAATAAACAATGGGACAGACCTCTGAATATGGTCCTGTGCTTGATGGTAGTGGGAAAGAGAATCAGGCTCAGATTCTAAAATGCAGGAGCAGAGCTTGGGAAATATGAAGGACTGTATGGTAGATCAAAGGGTGGTAGAACATCATGGTGTCCAGTGTTTGTGGAAATGTCACTGGAGAAGAACCTTGCTGTATCAGCTCCCCCGCTGTGATTGACACTGAAGGGAGGAGCAAAATACCCTATCCTCTGATTCTGGCCCCTCATTGTGATACTTTTCTTCTTCTCTTGGAGACTCTGAGAAGTTTACAGTCCTGAGGCTTAAGATCAAACCCTGAGATCTCTCAGCCCTAGATAACATGCAATGGCATTGCTGTTAAGCCTGTGGAATTATGCATTTCAGAGGAAAGGGAAGTATGAAAGTCACAAGAATATTCATAGGGCTCCTTGTGTGCTCCAGGTCTTTGATATGCTGTGGTATGGGGGTGGGCTAGGGTTGCCAACTCCAGTTCGGAAATACCTGGAGATCTGAGGGTGGAGCCTGGGTGAGTGGGGTTTAGGGAGGGGAGGGACCACAGTAGAGTATAATGCCATTCAGTCCACCTTCCAACACAGCCATGTTCTCCAGAAGTGGAATAAATGTTAATAATAAGCAATTTCTGTAGTGGGGAGATCAACTGCAGTTCCAGGAGATCTCCGCCCCCCAAATCTGGAGGTTGGCAACTCTAAACTAGACTGGAACATTCAGCCTGGAACTGACAGCATCACATGGTCCTGTTGCAGAATTGAGGCCTCAACTGAGCCTCAGTCCCTCGCAAACCCATTTTGAATTTGTTTCTGTAGCTGAATCTTTGGTTTCCCAAGATGCTTCAGGGCTCAGCTATAGCCTTTGTGATACAGATTGCCTAGTACACGACTTTTGCCTTAGTGGGATACATTCCAAGGGTGAGTGGTGCCATTCTTGAAGTCTCAACATATAGTTATCCGTGTTATCCCCATCTCTGAGAAACAATAACTCTGGTTCAGGAATCCCAAATCAGAAAGTAAACATTGGTCAGATCTCCCCATTTCTGATTGACAGCCCCTTTGGATCCTAAAGGCATATAATATCGGTGATGGCCATTGTTTGGGGCTCTCCTTGGCCAACAGTCCCCTTGAGGCTTTGGGGGAGAGCTGGAATATATTCCTGATAAACATATTTACAAGTGTGCTAATTTTCTAATAGGTTATGGTTTTGTTTGTTTTTCTGTATGATGTCTGCTGAGTTGTTATTTGCTTCAATACTTTTGCATTATGGGTTTAAATTTTCAATAAATAGTTTTAACTTTGGATCTCTCTCTCTCTCTCTCTCTCTCTCTCTCTCTCTCTCTCTCTCTCTCTCTCTCTGGGTCCTACTTAGGTTTGCCAGGCTGAGGCTGGGAGATCCCTGGAAATTTGGGGGTGGAGCCTTGGGATCACAGGGACCTCAGTGGGGTACAATGTCACAGAGTCCAGCATCCAAAGCAGCTATTTTCTCCAGGGGAACTGATCTCTGTCATCTGGAAAGCAGTTGCACTTTCGGGTAATCTCCAGCCCCCACCTGGCAACCCTAGTCCTACCAGTTCCACCCCCTCCCTTATCAAGCCTGGTGGGGATGGGAGTCCTAGGAAAAGCTCCTAGACAAATTTTATTAATTTTCCAACACAAGTACAAAAAAGAAGGAAGAATAAAACAGAACAGTTTGAATATAAACGACATAACCTACAAATAGGTTAGCAAGAAATATAAAATCTCATATTTATACAAAAATTAAAAAAATCACAAATATAATACTAAACATTATCAACAAAGGTTTGTATATAAGCTCCTAGACTCTTAATTCCCCCAAGAGGTCCATGCAGCTTGTTCCCAGGCTATGGGTACAATTTATTTATTTGATTTCCCTCCCTCCCCTACATCACTGCTATGACCCTATGCCCTACATCACTGCTGTGGCCCAAGTGCAAACAATGTAGACCAGGCAGTACTGCCTGCACTGTAAAGCCCAGTTAAGTTTCTCCCAGACTTTCTCTTTAAGTAAAAGGGCCAGTCCACAGCTGTATGTGGGTGAAATTGGGATGGTGCATATTGTCGTAGGTTTCCAAACAACCATTTATCTGGCTGCCTTGGACAAATGAGAACTCTCTTCAGATGGGGAAGATTTACAAAGAAATTGTATTTTATGCCTTTTAGACAAGGAGTAGGATAAGGCATGTGTAACCAGAGAAGCTAGTAAGAATATTAATGGGCTGGTAATATTTATGCTTTTCTTTCCAAATTTGGATAAACATGTGGTGGGGCTGTTGTTGAATGTATAGATTACCATGCTTTTAGTAAAGGAGCTAGAATATTTATTTAAATTTATATCACAATTTACTCTGCTGGCAATCCAGTTTATTCCAAGATGCCAAAAACAACGCTTCTAGAATCAGGGTGCATTTTATAACATTGCTGTCAAGGTGAAAACAGGTTGCCCCCCATTTCATAAATGACAGATGTCATAATATATATATATATTTAGACTACCCATGAGGTATCATTCTTAACAGACTTTATAATTTTAATGTTACCAGTTTGTCTAATGTCTCTATCTAAACTGATAATGTAAAACATATGAATAAGGGGGTTTAAAAATAGGTGTGCGACATTTATAAATACTTTTAAATAACCTAAGCAGTACTTACTTTTGAGAAAATAAACTATTCTTTGTTCTCTAACTTGATTCACAGCTCGCCTAACAGAAAATCATTTCAGACAATTGTGACTCAATCTGGCAACTTCTTTTCCTTTCCTTTTTTTTAAAAAAAAAAATTTTGGACTCATATTCCTGAGAGTAACTGTGCAGTGTTAGATAAATGTCAGGATTTGAATCTGATTTCAAGTTTCTACTCAATTACAGGCTTGCAGGCAGCCTTGGTCAAATATTTTTCTCATGTTTCCAAGCAAAATGGAATATTAGGGTCAAAATAGATATAATTCTGAGGATCCCCAGATGCACAACTGCACAGCTATGAATTCCCTTTCTGTATTCTTTTGCCATATGGAATTTGGTTTCCTTACCTCATTTAAACCCTGGAAGGGAAGAAGGGAAGTACAACACAGGTGATGGGGATCCATGGCCAGATCCTAAGCAATGGATCTGTTTCAGTCTTTAGTAGCCCATTTGACAAGATTTCTGTGGGGAACAGCAGTGTTCAAAGGAAGCATGCATATACTTCTAGTTTGTTTTAGCTGGAGGACCTATGCTCTTAGAAAAAGTTTCTCTTCTGATCTTTAAATATTGCAATTTCCACAGGAATTATATATAATAATAATCACGCTAACAATGATATTTAAACATTGTATAGCTGTCTGTTAATAAATCTAAAGTGGTAAGATTAATGTTTAATTCATGGGACAGAGTAATTGCGTAATATTTTGAGAACACTATGGCACTACTGTAATTACATTTGATTACAGTAGATGCTATTTCTGCTTTTTTATTAGAACAATCAGTTACAGAATTTCCTATGTAGAGGATTTGTCTTGATTTTGCATCACTTCAAGCATTGCAGTGCTGATGATATACAAGTATGAGTGGGTTGTTTCTTTTAATTTTCATGCATACTTTGGAAGACATTTTTCATTCATACCGGGCTTGGGGGGAGGGGAGGATTTCCTGTTTGGATTTGTGTCTTTTACACCTTTTTTAAAAAAACTTTATACATCATATAGAGACACAGAAAAAACAAAAACAGGTATGCATTTTTAACAGCAATACTTGTAACAAACTTCATTAATATGGTTGTGGAGAAGGGTGGCCACAGTTTCTTCCCCAGATGTGGAGAAATTGTGGAAGAAACCTGAACTTTGAGAATGAAAAACAGCATTGCCAAAACATTTGGTTACATCTCAGCAATGTTTATGATTATGTTTGGGAGCCGTCCTTGTTTTTTGAGGGTTCAGTGCTCTGGTGGACTGACGCAGTGTGTTCTCTCAAACCACAGGGCACCCATAAAAGCTGTGTTGACCCCTATTAAAGATTGTGGAGCAAGACTGTGAGAAATTTTATTGCTGAAATTTTATTCTCAGTTCTTTTGAGTATTGTTGGTATTTTGTTTTGTACTTGCAAATCAAACTAAGGCGTTGGAAACATCCATTCATCCATGTTCTAGAATGACTTTCAGGTGCCTTCTATTCAAGGAACATTTTCCACACTAGCATGTGTAAGAAGACACTGGCCCTTGAGAGTTACAGAAAGTTCTGGAAGAGGGACCTTGTGATCTGCCCATTTGACCTGAGAGCACAGCCTAGAACCTGACCAACACCTTTCTTTCTGGAAAGCTTCCAATCATTACTAACCATCTTCTAGAAGAATTCTTGATAAGCATTTGAAGCCCTGATCATAGTTTGAAAACTACTGCACTTGATGTGCCAGAGTGATCATTCTTCTTTTATGTGCCTTGATGAGCATTAACTCATACGTGTTTGTGTGTGTGTGTGTGTGGGTGGGTGGGTCAATTTATAATGTGTGTGATTTTTATCAACAGATTTTCCACATGACGTATGATCTAGCAAGTGCTGTGGTGAGAATCTTCAATTTAATTGGAATGATGCTGCTGCTTTGCCACTGGGATGGCTGCCTTCAGTTCTTGGTACCATTACTGCAGGATTTCCCACAAGACTGCTGGGTGTCGCTAAATGGTATGGTTGTAAGTATTGTTCATTTTTCATTGTGTTTTTTCAAACATTCTTCTAAAATGTTTATTACTTTTGTTAGCTCTAAACTGTAAAAGAAAGGAATACATTCTGTTGTTCTCAACTATAGAAAGTTTTAAAGGCAACTTAGAGTAAAAAAAGACAAACGAGAAGAGACCAGAAGATAATTAATAAGCTGGCTATATAATACGCACACAAAGGGGATACAATTTATTTCAAGAAGTACTGTCTCTTAGGTATAATTTCATAGCTCAGTAAGCTAGTTTCACCTATTGAAATAATAGAGAACAATGCACTTGGAAGTGGCTTTTTCAGCTGTAAAACTAACAGTAGTGTAATACCTTTATATTAGCGCTAACCACCAGAATCACAAAATAGTGGATTCAAGATTTCAGCTTTCCAGAATCCAAAGGCTGGGTGTTAAGAAGGTGTGTATGTGTGTATGTTTCTGTGGGGGATGGGGTGTATTTCATGGCACTTTGGAGCTTATTTTAAATGGAGACTAGGAAGGGAAGGCAGGATGGCATAGCCCACTCTCAACAGATCTCAGAAGCTAAGCAGGGTCAGTACATGGAAAGGAGACTACCAACAAAGACTCTACAGAGGAAGGCAATGCCAAACTATGGTTGTGGTCACACAACGTGTGGGGGAAGCAAGGCTATGGAGGAGGAAATTGACCTGCAGGAAGGAGGAAATTACCCTGGAGGAAATTGACCTGCAGTTGCGTGATCACACAGTTCTTTGAAGCTGCGGGCATAGCCCGCCACTGCATGATCAGACACCATCACTGGTGAGTCGGGGTTTTTTTTTGCCGTTTGGTTTCGATTCGCTTAAACGGAAGGTCAATTAATCACATTTCCATACTGAGGGCTTCCAACGGCAGTATATGATGATGCACATACTGAGAAGGGGGAAAAACAACGGCACAGAGTCGGGATGGCCTGATCAGACTATCCCAACACCATGAGAGCACGCTGGAGCGATCACATGGGAAAGTCTGTCTGTGGCCCGTAGTAGCCCATTTGCTACTGGACTTTCCCCAGTGTCTTTTTACTCTGCTTCTGCAGCGGAGCAAAACGGGTTGCTGACAGGTCCGGGATGCTGGGCAGGTGTTTGCATCTGATCGCACCCTTTAAATCCACCCAGCATTCATGCCTGTGGCACAGCTAATTGTGTGTGTGATCGCACCCCCTCTTTGCTTCTCACTTGCCTTGAAAACCCCTTTCTGGGGTTGCCATAAGTCAGCTGCGACTTGACAACACTTTAGAAACACTCAGAGGAAGTCCTGCAGATGTCATTCAATGACATGGTGCTTGGTGTAAATATGATTTCAATGTGCCCAAGGTCACCCAATGAACTTCATGGAAGAGTGGGGATTTGAACCCAGCCTCCCAGACCCTAGTCTGACACGAGACTGTACTAGCTCTCAGTGATACAAAATTCAGAAATTAACATTGACAGTTTTGATGTTCAATGTCAAGCAGTATAGAATTTGTGTATCTCCTAGTGATATGTTTTAATCAAGGTTTTCACCTTCTCTGTTCAAGGATTTATATTGTTATTTCTAGCTCAAAGTCAAGCATATCTTTTTGCCTGCACCTTTTAAAATGCATTCTCATATCTATGTTGTAATATATTAAGTATTTTGGAATGGTGGAGGCATCTGGCAACTATTGGGTGGGCTATGTCATGAAATGTTCATAGACGCTTTAACTATTGATGTGCTACAACTGTCAACAGTACAGTGATCATATGCAGTCGAGCTTTTGTAAAGGTTTGTAGGGACAGAAATGGCTGGAAAGGCAAGCTAGGTTCCTTTCCTCACTTGGGTCTCACCCCTGGTTTTATCAGAGTTCAACTCATGACACAATATCTTGCATTTATCCCTGGTTATAACACCATCCATTTATCCCGGGACAAGTGTGGGGTGAAACTGGGGTGACCTCAATGTAATGTGGAAACAAAAAATACCCCAAGATAAAAAAAACAGGGGTGAACTGGAGTGTAGTGTAGAATGTAAGTTCAGGGACAGGGTGGAACCAGGATTTAAGGTCTGGTATGGAATCTCCCTAGAAGAGATCCCAAGAGTTAGGAAAAGCAAATGGCAGGGAGCTGAGTAGTGGGCTGACTAATGCAAGATGGCAGAGTAGAATCAGTAGTTGATGAAAGAGTTGTTGGGGGAGACTTGGAAGAAAGAAGTGCAGAGAAAAGCTAGGGTTTGAGTTAAAAACGGGCTGGAGAAAAAGGGGGCTTTGCAAGAAGTATGACAAGTGAAGATGATTATTATTATTGGAGAGAGATATGTGGTGGCAAAAAGGCTGCCTGAGAATCAGGGCGGCTAGTGGAAACAAGACATAGTAGCAGGGTGAAAAGCAAGGACCGATTTGAGTGAGCACTGGATGGCAGAGCCCTGAAAATGAGAAGCCCTTAAAGGCAAAAGGAAGATGGAGAGAGCCATGCATTCGGTCCTAATGGTGATGCCTCATCCTGGCTGTCTCAAGTTCTGTTTGCAGCCAGCAGAAGCCGTTAGACAGCTGTCTGCACCAGCCAGGGGATTTGCAGCTCAGGCTCTCATGCTGTTAGAATTATACCTGACAGTGGTCCATGACTGTATTTATGGGCTGTCAATAGGGGAGCAGTTTGCAGTTGTTTTCCCAGTATTCATGCGAAATTTGACTGCCATCAGAAAGAAATGATACACAGCTTTTTTAAATGTATCAGAAGCATTTTGTTACGTGTGTATGACAATTTATCATAATCTCCCAGCAATATTTATTTATTTATTTATTTAGATTTTTACCCCGCCCTCCCAGCAAAGCTGACTCATCCAGAAAGCCCTGTAACTGAATTGCCACTGCCCTCTCTATTATCTTGTCCAAATAAGGCAAGTTGGAGACCGGCCGATAGTTGGCCAATTCGACCTGGTCCAGTGATGGCTTTTTCAAGAGGGGGTGTAAACAAAAGAATGAAAAAGGTCTGTAGCAGTAGATCTATGAAGATCTGCAAGTAGACTATTTAATGAACAGTTGTGATGAAATGCCCAGTGATTAATATTTTACTGCAGTCAATATTGTTTTAAAGGGGTTTGGCAGAAGTCTTGGACCTTTTATGTCTTGTAAGTCAACTGACAATCAGTGATAGACAGGCTCTTCAAGAAAAGAGGAAAGGTCCATAATTTACTCACTTATGAAGCATTTTGTTTATAAATGCATATTGTTGCCAACTGGCTAGACCAGGGGTGCCCAACCTTTTTCGACTGTGGGTGCCGTGGCACTCACTGACACTTTTCCTGGTGCTTACTAAGTGTTTTTTTTTGGGGGGGGGGCTCTTACCTAGCAGAGCTTCTGATTGGCCACTGGAGATCTATATTTTCCATGGCAGCTGCCACCATGATGTTGGTTTTATTCTCTCCCACTCCTTGTTGCCACTTGCCCTCTAGGCTTCCCTTTTGCTGGCACCATGAGTTCCCATGTGAGCATCCTATAAGCCCAGGGGCAGTTCTGGCAATGGGCATGGGCCTGCTCCTGGACGACATTAAAACAAATCACCAAGACTGTGGTTTCTAAGCCAAGCGCATTATGTAACTATGATAGTGTAGTATATACTCTTGATGGGATTCAAGCTTGCATTGCTTGGATGAATTATAAAGCGGCCAAAAGGGTACATGATGAAAGAGGCATGCTAATGTTTCTTCATCTGTTCCATTTTTGAGGCAGACTATGACAGACCTCTGAGCCAGTTTGGTACAGTGGTTAAGTGCACGGACTCTAATCTGGGAGAACCGGGTTTGATTCCCCACTCCTCCACTTGCACCTGCTGGATGACCTTGGACAAACCATAGTTCTGGCACAGCTGTTCTTGAAAAAGAGCAGTTTCTGTCAGAGCTCTCTCAGCCCTACCTACCTCACAGGGTGTGTGTTGTGGGGAGGGGAAGGGAAAGGAGTTTGTAAGCCGCTCTGAGACTCCTTTGGGTAGTGAAGGGTGGGGTATAAATCCAATCTCCTCCTCCTCCTCCTTATTATTATTATTGTTGTTGTTGTTGTTGTTATTGTTATTATTGTTATTATTATCTGTTAGGCAGATCTTTCCCACCAAAATCCTTAGTTCCCTTCAGGTACTGAGCTAGCCCCCAGTAGTGTGGTAATATTTGTGGCTTTATAAATCTGAATATCCCACCCTGTGACAGAATCTGATTTGGCTTTTGCCCAACCCAGGAACTTGTCAGGAGAAAACAGAAGCCCTCTTTTTAGATCCCTTGAAATGGCACTGGACATTGTGTACAGTGAACAATAATAAAGATTTTATTAAATAGGCAGCGATGGTATGGGTAGTCAGGAATTGGAAAGGCTGAGGTAAACATTGATGAAACAGTATATTTTTCAGTTGATAGACAAGATGGTGTTGTAGCAGCTTATTGTTACAGATTCCTGGTTCTTATCAGTGAGAAATGGTTGACTAAGTACTTTGGTTTCAGTTACAATATTTCTGCATATAGTTTCCCTAATAACGGTTCAGTTTTTCTGGAAAGGGCACTCTTCTAATCTATCAAATTCTTTCCCCTTTTCTGAAATCACCATGTGTCTTCTTTCCCCTGAGTAGTCTATAACCATTTCCTTTCAAAACAGACTGCCTCAGTGCCAATTCCCTGTATAAGTGGACAGGACTTATATTTCTTCCCTGAAAATATAATCCAATTCCTTTTGGCCTGATTGTGAGCTTCAACCTGCTACCCAGTCTCTCTTTGCCAGAATCTCAAAGCCCAGTTCTTGGCATCTGTGTGAAAACGTACTCAGCTTTAGCTGACACTAGACTCTGAATTCTTAGATGGAATTCTTTCTCAGGTTATGTTTAACACAGCTAAGACCAGGAGTCTCTCCAAAAGGTTAATCTGTCTGACAGACTTTTACAAGAGCCAGTTTGGTGTAGTGGTTAGGACCGCAGATTCTAATCTGGGAGAACCGGGTTTGATTCCCTGCTCCTCCACATGCAGCTG